GGAAGAAGACGAAGAATTGGGAGGCCGTCGGTGACAGCCCAGAGAGGAAGTAGAGAATAACATTGAACAGAATGGCAATCACGCACTTGACTGGGGCGTCAGATATTATACCCGCAAGCGCTTCAGAGCCAGGCCGGCAGAAGCTGGATCTGTGTCAGCTGCTATTCCACAACAAGGGCACCGATGTCAAGAAATCGACATATCTTTGACTCACGCGTAGGACACATGTTTCTCCACGATTGGCCTCTGTTGATACAAGCCATTGATCTCGGTTACTGCGATGAGCGCATTTAATAAAGTGGCAAAAAACAAGGTCGAACCTCTTGCAAAGAAGCTGGCTGTGGTATCCGGAGTACCATAAAACACCGATCCGACAACAAGTGCCATAATAACTTGTCCGATAACTATAGTCAAGGTCGACGGTTTGTCGTTCCACAGTCTCTGATATGCACGCTTCGTGCAGACCCGAATTTGTATGGCAATGTTGACCATATACGGGGATTTGGCACGTATCCACTTCGACTGTGCTGCTTTGTGCGATTGTTGAAGCTCTTCAGCAAAGACTTGATTCATTGGGTCGCGTCGATACGCTTCAAGCTCATCTTGGAGTTTCTTGAACTCAGGAGACCGTCGCCAATATTCCTCGAATTCTTGCGGGTTTCGTGGCACGCTTAGTTCGTACCCTTGACGGGGCTTCCTCTCCTTATAATTCGTGACGGCAGTGAGGAACTCGCCTGTAGTCTGCCGTTGAGGACAGTACCAACCCATTTCCTCAAAGTAGACTTTGGCGGTCGTGACGTGTCCGAAGAAGATTTCCCTGCCTTCGTATAGTACTATAACCTTGTCGAATACATCATATATAGCTTGAGAGGCTTGATAGATAGCTACGGCGTGGCTTGTACCGAGTAGATCGGAGCTGATTTTTAGAGTCCGCACGAATTCGAGCGCGGTAGCAGAGTCAAGTCCTCGGGTGCTATTATCCCAGCATCCTATAGGAGACCATGCGAGCATCATTTCAGCAATACTTACACGCTTTGAAAGTGTTAGCACAATGTCCATTCGGCAGGGCCTAGCTTACCTTTCTCTCTCCACCAGAAACGCCTCGTATATAATCATTTCCGACTTTTGTGTTGCCGGTGTGGCTTAGTCCACAAATCGCCATCACGATTGATGTGAGCCGTCGGATATTCTCTTTCCGCGACTCTGAGATGATCCGGTTCGAGGGCGTTCGCAGTGCGGCGGCAAACTCTAGGGTTTGCTTGACTGTGAGATGCGGGAAGTGATGGTCGACTTCTGCATTGTACACCATTTCACCTTTGTATTCGTTCATCATCTTTTCTTGACTAAGGCCTAATATCTGTCAGATGGGCATCGAGAGCATCGATGGAAAAGTACCGTTATAACTCAGATAAGAGCATGAACCGACGTTTAATCCAGCCATTTCTCCAGCAATTGTCTTGAGCAGTGTAGAACAGCCGGAGCCAGGACGTCCAAGGACGAGCAGCATCTCCCCGTGCTTGATAAGGCCATCTAAAGACCACAGGATCTTAGTTTCCGAACGTCTTCCGAGGTTGAAATATTTCCGTAGATTCATCACAAAACCAAGCACTGACGCGACGGTGGCTTGAGTTGGGCTGCTGACGGAACTTGAGCCCAAAACATCGAGATTTTGGAACGCAACAGAGGCTCGTCGATATCTAAATTTTGATTTGTCCGCCTTTGACAACGTCTCTGATGCCCACTTATAGAAGTCAAAATTAGGGTCTGTGGCATCAAGTCGCGAGAAGTCGAGTTCCGTCCGGCTGAGTGTGCTCAATCTTGATACTATGTCCGGCTCAACAGACAATGGAAGATTCTCTGCTGAGTGTGAGGGTATTATCTGATCAGCCGTAATAGCGTCAAGATGTTCCAGATCGCATACGTGAGGTTTCTTATCCTCACCACGGCGGGACAGGGAGGCTTCGCTGGAAGCAACGGAGCTCGACTTTCGTACATCGTTTGTTTTGGGTGTTGGGGCCATTCTAACTTCGTCCAGCATGTTTGCGAGGAACTGATGATCTTTCAGGCACCGTTTCGAACTTCGACATTCATAGCAATCGAGACATCGGAGGTTTGTAGTAGGCCACCTGTCGAGGGAGATAGCCCACGACAAGGAATTTCGCTCCTAGATATGTTGGGCAGTCACAAAAATAAGGCCAATTCGTGTGCAAGAAAGGTGGATGCTATTCTGTCAAACTGCGAGCTCTTGCTCCTCGAATATCCTCTTGGACGGTTGTGAAGCGCCACGAAAGCATTCGCGGTCGCTAGCACCAGTTCTGTTAGCCATGCTAGGAAAGCTTGCCAGCGGCAGTAATCTATCCTTTCGCGATCGACAACGACACATCTCCAGTATGGTCGTGGGGCTGGTCTGTGGCCAATCAAACCAAATGAATGAACCGCCATGGCTCCCAAATGTGGACGAGGCGACAGGTGGTCAATTTTATTGGCACGGGACATCAGCGGAAGCTAAGGGGAATGAGGGCGTGCTATTGCCCCTACCATGGTTGGGCTCCTTTCAGCTTGCGGAATTATGTGACTGACCAACCTCATGAGAGGACAGAGAAAATAGACGCACCACTCAGTTGGGACGTTAATATGTCCACTGATGGTGGAGTCCAGGGCGTCCGTCAACAGCCGGGAGAGTACGAGGGCGGCAAAGAAGTTTTGCTGAGGCTTTGCTGACTTGAGCTTCCGGGCCGGAATGCAGCGGCCGGAATCTCGTATCCGAAAGTTCACAGCTATTGGGGCTTGTGACCCATTAGTATTATGGACCTACTACATAGGTCTAGCAAATGAGATTGCCAACCAACAATACCCTTGTAGGAATTTCTTCGTTGCTCTGTGCACTTCGCAGGAATATTGTTCTCGCTCAGTTCCGCCTCCATTGCCACGAAACTCTTACCGCCAGCTACGGTCAAAAGAGTAGCATGCTACGCGAACGGCTTCCAAATGCTAAGACTTGAAATACGACTGTTGAAGCCACCATTACCTCAATGCCGAAATTATATGGTCGAGAGAAACGCTGACCTCGACTCGCCTCCAACGGGAAGAAGCTCATCTAGTTTCTGCAGATACTTGGTCACCTAAGCGCATAATTGGTTACGATATGCGGAGGTTTGCTGAACGTTGAGAACGCAAAGATATGGAGTCTGATTTGACAAGAAACAGAGCTGAATTGCCCCTTGATCAGGTGTTTTATTTTCAACTTCTCGATGTCCAGGGGTAGAGTACTGCAGCCCTTCTGGAGCTCTCGAAGTATGTAGAAACAATCAAGCACAGAGGACCGCTGAGAAAACGACTGTCCCCAGGAACTCTGGGAGGACATGTATTAGCTTACTAGGAGAATCGATCGCGAGTTGATGAGCATAGATGCCTCTGGAAAATATGCGCTGGTGATGCGGCTCTTGGCGATTCAAAACTTCAATCATCCCGCGCAGTCATCCCAATATCATCATCGTCGAGCATGGTATACTTCACTCTGGACCGATCCATGAAGTTGTCCTCATCTTTCTCTACCTCATCCCTTATCCCATCAGCTCTTCTCGCTTGCAGGCTTTGCTGCATGGCTTCCGGACTCTCGAATGTTATTACGGCAATCAAGTCTGAATCTGCGGAGGACGAGGTTCCAATGGCAAAATCAGCGTCTTTGTTGGTGTAGTAGCGTGTGTGAATCAATGAGTGGTTAGATCCTAGGAGATGTTTCGCGTATGTTACATGGACCTCTTCGATATATGTTCGAAATTGGGCGGCAGTTATGGATGGCAGGCGATAGCAGAAGAGAAAGGCTGTTACTGGTTACATAGTCGGAAGAAGATAAAGAACGTATCGTGTCTGTGGCCTTGAACTTCGAATCTAAGTCGAGAGGAGTTTTCTTGCCGAATTCATGTCAGCCTTTACCTCCGGTACCGTCTACCTCGATTGCCTGATTGACGAAGATATCAACCGGCGATAAGCAAAGTTCGTCACCCTTTCCAACTGGTCACACACTCGGCGGTCGCCTACAACCAGGCTCACTTTATCCGTACAGGGAATAGATTGTAAGGTGCACCCACTGATTCTTCAAGGCGAGGTTCCCTATCTCGATTGGCTTTGCGCGGCTAAGGAGCACTGGCAGACCCGGAGTCATGCCGATGTCCTCACAACTGTTCGTAGGGATGAGACCGGTGGCTGGGACAGACTCTAAGTCCTGAAGAAGCATTCACTGCCAGTGGCAGGGCTGGATAACTCGAGCTTACAGCTAAATACACTGAAGTTCACCTTGTGATCGGATCTTGATTTCTGTCTGTCTCGATGAACAGCTGGAAGATACTACTCACACCTTCGGCGAGAGGCGAATAGCGGTTTGAAGACCAATGTTCACAACGGTATTGGATTCAACGGCAGATGCTGATGTCCATTCCCAGCTCACCCGTGCACTTTTCCATATTGTCGCGCAATCTTGGTAGTTGGATGGGAAGACTTGTCGACGAGGCTAGAGTCCAACATAATGAAACTGTAGGGTATTGTTTCCCACAAACCTAGAATCAGTGCTGGAGCGTTTCACCTCCGCCCCCGCCACCCCAGTGCCGATACTACGATCGTGCTTGTTAGAAGGAAAGTTGTTGCCATTCACTTCCTATGTCGTCTCGACCGAGTTTTATGGGCGCAGCTCCAACAGAATCGTATTCGAGGGAACATTCATTCTTGAAGACTAAAGTTGCCAGATATCCCATAGAAGACGATTTTTCTCCTGAATGCTTGCGCTCCAGCAATGTTCAGCTGAGACCAAAACAGGTTGCAAGCTGAAAGATCGAAGACATCGTCTGGTCGATCAAGACGACCATCAAAGTCGGCAAGCGTGCATACATGCAAAGGAACAGACGGTGAAAAGCGCCGGACCTTAGCTCAGCAAGACCCCCACAGAGTCGTCTGCATAGGTGATGAAGCCTGTCCGAACCTGTCCGAATCAACGTGATCCATTTTCAGACTTCGAAACTGTTGATGCGACTGGAAGCATCGACAAAACACTCAACGTGTTCCGTTTCAACGTCACCCATCAGGGTGCAGGATTGAAAGAGTAAGTTAGACATACTGCTTTCTGTGGACAATGATGCCGCATCGTCGTTTCCAAATTTGAGAGCGGTTTCGCTTTCGAAAGATGCGGCCTGCATTGTCTCAATCATCTCGACTTGATCCAGCAGATTGTTTTTCTCGTTTTCATCATGATGTGTGCAATCCCACATTGCTTTCTCTAGAGTAACACTAGCCAGAAGAGCGAGGAACGCAGCTCGATCTTCTCCTGTGTCGGGGTTTTCCTCGTCAAAGTCGCGGATGCGATATTTTTCGAAATAGTCACGAGCGGTGTTTCCGTCGTGATCTACTGCCTCGACATCAATCCCGCAGATCGGCACTTCAGTTAGCGCTTCCATGATCGAGGTGCTCCCATAGCAAGCAGCAAGGATGAGCGTGCCGCGACCAAACTTATCATAAAAGTCGAGCTTTGCGCCGTGCTTAAGCAATATCCGTACTGCGTTCAAGCGATTCTCCGAAAGCGCCATCATGATTGGAGTGTTCCCATCTTTATTGCATGTATCCAAATCTACGCCCATGTTCAGCAAGCCCTGTAATATATCGATGTTGCCGGCAGCTGCGGCCATATGGAGACATGTCTAGTGGCGTCGACTGCTCCGATAGTGCACATTCGCACTCCACTTGACGAGCAGACGGAATAGCGGCATCTGGTCGATCTGGGCACGCGAATGGAAGCTGAAATCAATCAACGGAGTACGCCCTACAAAGTCCTCGATATCCGGCTCGTAACCGGCTTTGAGGAGAAGCTGCGCACATCTACACGCACCTTGTCGTGCTGCATAGTGAAGTGCAGTTAGGCCCTCGTGATCTTTCACGAGGACATTAGCCTTCCACTTGAGTAAGATCCTGATCTGGTCTGGGTCATTGCGCATTGCAGCCCACATGAGCGCTGTTCGGCTATGAGTGTCGGTTGTGTTGATCTGTGCATAGTCAAGCATGAGCTGTTCGGCCAATGGCGTCTTGGAAAGTTGCACAATAATCATGTGTAGTGAATTGAAGCCCACGTTGTCAAAGTCGTAATCCCGCTCAAGCAGCCGTCTCAGTTGCAAGAGTGCTGCGTCCCGGTACCCGACACCCGTCAATATTGATGGCCAGAGGACGTCTGCAAAAGAGCTTCCGTCGACGTCGCGATAGCCCCAATCACCCCTTCTAGGGCAATCTGGTAGTAGATGTTGAAGCGTTTGTACTAGATGGCGTGATGCAGCAAAGATCGACCGTCGCCGCCATAGATGTCAAAGGGTGATGCTTTCCCTTCCTTAAATAGTTGACACATTTTCTCTTGGCTACCGTGCTCGATGGCGGACCAGATCGGACCCTAGTCTACGAGCCGTGGCATTCGAATCGTCCAGGATGCTCCTACTCCAGCGAGATCACGCCAAGAGCCAGTGAAGTAGATCGCTCTTGCAACGGCCTAGCGTGGGAACTGGTAGGAGAATCGCATAGTACCATATTTGGTCCTCTAGTAAAGTGGGTAATCACACTTACGTCGATCGAATAAAGGAGTGCCCGTGTAGCTGTAGAATAGATGACTAATAACTGCACGGAGAGTACGTGGGGTTCTCATCTGCACCTGTTTATGGCCGTTATAGCGGCAAAAGCTGGAGCACCGGTCCAAGACAAGAGTTGTGTCGATGCGCACGGAATCTTCGTTTTGTAGGGCTGTAGAGTGGCTTCTCACTGCTGGGCTTAAGTCTCCTGGCGATTTGAGGATGTCAAGGTCAATCTGGCTTTCTGAGGCGTGGGATAAGTCTTGAATACTGTTGATGACTTGATCGAGTTTCGATTGAATGATCTCGTAGGGATTGTCTGTCGTTGTAGCCTTCTAGTTGAGAACCGACAAGTGCCCTTTATTGAGAATAGAAATATCTAAGACTTAGAGCAACACCGGTCGGATTTGGGAGCTGGCGGAGTTAACCCCATCTCTCAGCATACGAATAGTACGACTAGCACTTATAGAGATGTGGAATTGAATGCTGAGAAAGTGACGGACAGATTTTGCCGGACATCCCTCAGAGACCACCGTAGACTTTCCAGTCGGCCTTAATGGCGCATCTATGCCCGTCGAGAGATCTTAGATTTCCCGCTGCCAGCCAACTCGGTGCTTCGGAGGAGTTTGGTTTGGATGAGTGCGTCAAGGTCCTCAAGCATTTTCGCTGCCCGGTCGGCAGATCTCTGAGTGACAGCAAGCGCATCCTGGAGCATGGGCGTATCGGGTTGGAGACCTTGCATTGAGTTCTCCAGAACGTGAGCGTGAGCGAGTGCTCGAAGCTGGGTCACCTGTAGTTGAGGGCTTAGCACAGATTCTGCTACGGACGCATGGGGTCATACCTCGTTCATGATCGCCTGCACGACATCGGGAGCATCGCGTAGACACCATATTCGCTCCAGAGTGATAGCGATTTGGGAGGCCGCTCCGACGACGGCTATTACACTGGCTGCCACTGAGAGAGGATCAGCCATCGCTATAGCATCAGTAAATTTCGAATAAGCAACTGGTGAAGTTGGCTAGGGCCATTCCTTCATCAAGGGGCTCGCGGATGGGAATGTGGAGAGGAGGTCGAGGGAACGGGTAATGTGGCGGGGACTTCCAAGTACCTTTGCAACTAGGGTCCATCCTTGCCGAGCTGGTCAACAGGGCGCTACAAATGAGAACTTTGGTAGGTCTGCCTTGAGGGAGAGACAGGCGCAGTTTGGTAGTGTGGGACCAACTTGATTGCCATGATTCATCTCAGTGGGAACGCGCTTTGTTGCGGCAGAGGCAAGGCCCCAGTGACAGACCTCGCCTAACATTCCCCATATGGTTAAGGCAACAGGCTTGAGTTCACGCGCCGCCTGGCGAGGGCCGGAGCCGCCATGAGATTATTGGCCATGACCACCAAGGGCGGAGACTTGCCAGGCATCTGCCAGGTGACCTTTATCTCGTACTCGTAACCGGTGAGCTTTGTTTGGCCTCACAAGTTGGACACTAGACGGCCAGTGTGAGCCAATAGTCACTGCAGTATCACGACAACATCCATGAAACCGTCACCCTGACTCTTGTTGTGCAACAGGATGCGGCTCAACTGCCTTTCACGCCAGACGTGTCACTTGCCAAGGAAACACTCAATAGCTAGTAGAGTCACACTAGCCACTTCATCACGCCTCAGCTCCTCCTTTGCCAGCGTGCTTTCTTATTGTATGGCAAGTGCATTTCTCCCACACGTACTCTAAGACACTGGAATAAACAGTCCACGAGTTATTCACGCCTCACTCGAGCGAGAAACTGTTTACCAAAACCCTCGAGAGAACGTCGAAGTCACGATGGCGACGGTTATGCAGACCGGAACCAATACCGTTGGCCCTGAGGCACCTGAAGCCATCCGTGAGTATTTCGCCTCTAAGCCAAAACATTGGCATATCGTCACTCGGCCTGTCAACGATCATGTCGTGACAATCGATGTCCTCGCAAACATTAGCAAAGATGCGACGCTATAGGACTGATAAGATATACGTCGCGTTAGACGAGTCTAGGTGTTTCGCCGTAACTTCCGACTCCTCTCGTCGATATGCTTTGCATCGTGCGTGATGAGCACATGGGAAGTCTTATTAACGGCTAGCGGTCCTGCTCTTATTCACGGTGGCCTTCCTAGACTGTTTTAGTCCATGTGCTGGTCTTACCTAGGCTAATTCTTCGTTATACTCAGCCTTACCGAGATGGCGAGTATAGCGCTAGTTTCCTGTGGGCCGTACCATTGTTAGTTCGAATGCTCTTATTTTAAAGCATACTAATTCTCAAGGGGTGTCAGAATTTGCTCCCCTAAAGCATCAGAAATTCCTAAGCTATATATATAGTTGCCTCTCAACTATCTGCTGGTAGTCGTTCGTCACTGCTAACTCATACACTGTGGGAATTATCATCTAAGGCATTATCATTATTAACAATCCTTCCTACCGGCCTGAAAGATAGTACGGAACACTATTTGTCTACGCTATGACCATCCTTACTGGAATCCTAAATGTTTGGGGAGCGAAATTCTTGCCTCGGATGGAGATCGTTTTCGTAGCATACCATATACTCACCTTCTTTCCGATCCTGATCACTCTTCTAGTCATGGCACCTGAAAAGTAATCAGCGCACGACGTCTTCCTTCATTTCACTGATAACGGCGGTAATTAGCTAAATCGTGGGCTTGACGTTATGATAGGATAGGTCGCTGCATCATTTATCCTTCTAGGTGAGTGGTCTCTAGTAATCATGGATAGGCTATCCTACCGACTCTAACATAGGTTCTGACGCACCGGCACATCTCGCTGAAGAAATACGAAATGTAAGTTATATTGGTCGTTTCTCTTGAACATACCTCCGACGTTCGCGATGCTCATGGCGTACCTCTTCTGTATTGGCAATGTTTAAGAGGTTCTCGAGACTCCTACGGGATTTCCGTTCATTGCGGTCTCCTTATCTGCCACTAGGTCGGTACAGCATGCTTCGGTCCTTACAGCCATAATTATCCTCCTATTATTTTTCGTGTCTATGAGCACGATGAGAAGCACGAGCCGATAAATATTTGCATTTACTCGGGATGGTGGTTTGCCCCTTTCGCATTAGCTGAAGTAGGTGAGAGACCGCTACTACTTTTAAATCTTGTAGCTTATACTCTCGCACGCGCAGATTGACCTTTATCACGTTGTGCCCCTAAACGCAATCATTTTCACCTACTTCTACACCTTTATACTCTCCCTTATCAACATTGGGAGCACAGTGGCATTTAGTGCCATCCTTTCCTTGTCAACCAGCGCCCTCATGGCTACCTACGCCATGGCCATTAGGTGCGTGACATATCGAAGACTATACGTAGGCCCAGAATTGGCTCCATTGAATAGCGCACGATGGCGCTTGGGCAGGTATGGGATTTTGATCAACGCGCTAGGTTTCTTATATGCGTGCTGGAGCTTATTCTGGAGCTTTTAGCCAAGCGTTTGTCGTCCCACGGCAGCCGAATTCAATTGGGCATCCGTGATTCTTGTTGGGCTTCTTGGGTTGGCGGGCTTGCTGTATGTCCTTGATAAGAAAGATACATATAACAGCCCCGTCGCCATAATAAGAAGATTGGCTTAAAATAACATAATTACAGAGATGGTATTTAGGCAGGAATCTAAACCTGGCATTGACATCCGTTTAACACCATGGCCTGCCGATGACCTGGTGTGCAGGCTCCCGCACTTCAGGTACAGATTCATACGATGTTCAACAGGTTCCCCTAATGCGAAATTCGGTAAGACCAAGATCGAGACTCGGTGCGAAGGGAATGGATGAATGCTCTTGTTGACTTGAGCTGGGTCCTGAGAATTTATTCATTGTTCTGTGTCCACCAGCTGCGTGCACCAGTTGGCTATCGACGTTTAAAGCCCTCGACCAACAATAGTAATGCCGTCAACGCCGTGGATGACGCCTCGAGCACGTCTGCCATAGACAATAGCGCAGGCAAGAGCAATCCTGCAACGATATTGGAGCCCCAATGACCAATTTCGTGAGGCTGGGCAAGGCTGACATGATATTGGCTACGACGATGACTCTGAAGTGGTGCCAATGCACCAGGCGTTCAACAACTCTCGCGCTTGTCCCTGTTTTGACAGTCCTGGTAGTCCCTCTATATGCCGGCTTCTGGGACCATCGATGTTTCGGCATTCTTCTCCTCTAGCAGCCTTTCGTCTTTGAACCACACAACTTTAAAATTATGGGATTTGCTTTGAGATCAATCTAACGCGGCGTGAGAGTCTCCTTTTATTGTTATGACGGTATTGGCCTGGCCGGTTGTTTCATTTGGAATGGACCTACAAAGTAGATAGTATACAAGAGTGAATCGAGGCTAGTAAGGCGTCGATAGCTAGAGTGTAAGAAAAGCGTACTCCATGCTTCAACAGGCCTACAATGAGTGCTACAGTAATGTATACGACGCATAAATCACACCGTACTACGAACACAGACAACCTCAACTAATACGTCCTAATTCTCGTGGCGCCTCCATCACGACCTCGCGGCCAATCATCAGTCTGGCTCTTCTCGTTATTTTTAGACTCTTTATTCATGGAGAATCTGAAGCGAAAGGTTTCATCTGTATCTGGATGTGTAAAAGTGGATACTTCCTCCCGCATCAGGGTTGGGTTGTCATTCGACTGGAAGTACATGGTACATTCTTTCGTTACTCGTCTGCCATCATTGTAGCCAACTCAGGTCAACCACTCATACCGCTATCAGTATCCAGTCTTGGGACCCAAAAGGCACTCTTGCAACAACAACCGAGCAAGAACTCACTGGGAGTTGGCCTCTCCCAACATTTGAAATATCAGAACCTGGGCCTAGGAGTCTAGATTATAGGCCCCTATAAAGACCCTATGACCGTACCAAAGCTAGTCCAGTCATGGCTCAGGTCCTAGCTAGCGGCACTAGGGATGACACAACAATGGCTCAAAATAGCTACATTCAGGACTCAGCTTACATGGCGAGATGCTCTGGGCCCACAGGTTTGCAACCGGAAATAGATTTCAGAGGGATCAAGGCTCGATATAGTATAAACTGGAGAGGCGAAATTCCTAGATGCAACCTGTGTCCACCCAGAGATAGTGTAAGCTGTCTTTCCTTGCTTATTCCGTACAGAAGACGATCTTCGTATACCCCGCCTTATTTTAACCAGTGCTGCTCTGGAGATCGTCTATGGTTACCTCCTCTTCGTCCACACCTAAGTATGCGACAGTATAGGATAGGGTGGAATATCCTCGGTCAAGCCTTTCGTTAAGATTTCAGTACGACTGCCAATTTTCACTAAGTCGCATTATCCTCGTATTAATCTTGATTCTCTAGATAGATTTTGAGGGGAGACAAAGACGTAAGGCCGTGTAGTACATTCCGAAAATCAATAAATTCCTAGTGAGAATAAGTGTTGTGTGAACCAGGCTACCTGAGGGAGACTATTGGTAGGGGTAAATGCGAGAAGGTGGTCTAGCATTTTCAATTAGAGTCCGACGAAGAAATCTAGTCAAGGACGACTAATTACTAGAGTGTACGGAGAAAACTAAAGAGCTATAAGCATTCAGCCTTCCTTGGAGTAGTAAACAAGGGCTTCCCATGGCCGCAAGATTAGACTTCCCCCTCTAGTCTGGGGAGATGGGTAATTGCCTCTCAGGTAATTCCAAGTTTGATTGCCCAGCAATGTCGTCTGGCTCTCTTGGCTAGAAAAGTTCAACAGTACCAAGGCTTCCTCTTCAGTCCGGCAGCTTCCTCGCTTGTAGGCAACGATGGTATCTTGAGGGGACGATTCGTGAAACATCTCAAATGTACCGTAGATAAAAATATCGGCTATTTTTTTCCGCAATGCTAGTGATTCCTTCCAAAATGACAATACGCTGTCAGGGTCATTTTGCTGAGCTTCAACGTTCCACGCGACATGGTCCGGATTGACTACCATCCACGGCTTCACATCGGAGTTCGTGAACCCTGCGTTAGTCTGGGCACTCCACTGCATAGGCAATCGACCATGATCCCTAGCCTTGAGCTGCAATTCGCGCAGGACGTCGCCCATCTTGCTCTCATCTCCACCACGCTCTTTTAAGACTCTCTTGTAATGGTTTCGTCCTTCAACGTCAATGTAGTGCTCGATTCCCATTTCCCGTGGTAGGTTGGCCATGCCGATCTCTTGACCCGCGAGAAGGAAGAGGGTGCCGCTCAGTGTACACATGTAAATGGAAAGGAGTTTAGCGGCGAAAGCACGGTATTTTGGGTCATCCGAACCATACCGAGTTAGAGAGCGGCCACTGTCATGATTGTCCAAGTAGACGCTATTCCAGCCGTCAAACGTAGGCATCGCAGTTTGCCACTTGTGTGTGAGAAGTCGAAGCATGCCGGGATGGAAGTCCTTCCGGCTATACTTCGAAGAGTGGCCGAAATCCATATCAACAATGTCGCCAGTGAACAGCATATTCACTTCCTGACGGGATTTTGCGACATATTTCGCCACTGATTCCACGTCCTTAGTGAATCCGAGCTCTCCCACAGTGACCGCATTGTACGGATCAAAGACTTGAGTCCGAAGCTCATGGAGGTATTCGTGCATTCGTGGTCCCGAAGCAAACCACTTCTCACCGCTCTGGTACTCTTCTGCAGGATCAAGGATGTCGGCGTCTGGTAGATCTTCATGTTTGGACATGAGGTTCATAGAATCAATTCGGAACCCATTGACGCCCCGATCAAGCCAGAAGCGTATGTCACTATGGATGGCTTGCCGCATGTCATCATTTGCCCAATTCAGATCCGGTTGACTTGGGAGAAAGAGAGCCAGATAATACTGATCCGTCCATTCGTCATAAGTCCACGCGCTTCCTCCAAACACGGATCTCCAGTTGTTTGGGGATTTTCGAACTCCGTCAACCCCATACTTCGGATCCCTCCAGAAGTACCAATCTCGCCTGGGGTTGTCTTTAGAACTTCGTGATTCCTTGAACCATGTATGCTGATCAGACATATGATTCACGACTAGATCCATCCATAGCTTCATGTCTCGCAAGTGTAACCCAGCGATTAGTCTGTCCATCTCCTCAAGGCTGCCATATCGAGGGTCGATAGACCGATAGTCGGAGATGTCGTACCCCATATCCTTCTGCGGCGAGTCATAGACAGGCGAGAGCCAGATGATATCGGCCCCGGCAGACTTGATATAGTCGATCTTGGATATTATGCCCGGGATGTCACCCCAACCGTCACAATTTGAATCCACAAAACTGGCGGGGTAGATCTGGTAGACGACAGCTTCCTTCCAAGGCTGTCTGTCTGCGCCTGTCGCTGTCATTGTTGTCCAAGGTGTTGAGTAACCTGGAGGCAAAGGTTAAAGTGAAGGAAATAAGGACGGCAACATCGCCCAGGTTTTGCGCGGAATGTTCGTGAGTTCAAATACACCACTGTTCGGACTGTTTGCTTTGCCGAATGCTTTGGTACCAAAGAGCGACTTTCTTTAGCTCGACCCAACTCTCGACAAGTAGACTCCTCACATGGGCAAAGAATGAGTTAAGAACTGACAAACATCTCCTGTGGATCTTTTACCGATCATCAAGGTCTCTCATATACAGTCTGAGCCCAAATCAAAGACACCAAGATCAGCCAAATATGCCAAGAATATAGCGGGAAATGTGACTTGGACCGTGGCAGTGTCTTTCCCAGCTTGCAACCTTCGATGCAATTCTCTCCACCATAAATAAATGCTGCTCAAAGCACCATGCGCCCCAACGTTCTCGAAGTCTTTTCGCTCGCTGGCTTGGACGCCGCAACCCAAACCCACAAGAACGCTGCGAGTCGGGCCGATAACAGTTCTGTGGGTCCATGGAGAAGGGCCGATTAGGACGACAGGTCTCCACCAGGTTTGGGGGCTATATTTCTACGTCTGCGTTGACATGCACGAGGCTGCGATACTCAGATCATCACGTAACCCAGGCCAGCGTAACATACGCGTAGTCCTTCTAGATCTCCATATCACTGTTCTGTCCTGGATGAATGTTCCACGTGCATCTGGCTATGATCAAGGCTTGATCATCTCTTCTATCAATGTACGTGTCTCCTGCCATATGATCGTCTATTGTCATTGAATGAGTCTTTTGAGTGACCCGCACGGGTGTAACTGCGGTAGGTTAGCATGGGACCATTTGATGTCGGGGTGTTTATTGCCATTGAGTAATTCGTACAATTAGCCTAGTTTCCGTCCACAGACTAAAAATAGAGAGTCTTCACAGGATGTCTTGTACCTCGGTCCTCTAGTCAGCACAAATCAGGAGTCGACTATCTTCTCTTCGGCAACATAGAAGCTTCCGTTAAAATGATCTTAACCCCGTACATATAGGGGCTTGTCTCTGGCAGTTTCTTCAGAGGAGTTACGGTGCCACGTGAGGCGACTTAATGGAGGAGCTTGATGCATGCTACAGGGTCTTGGGCCACATCTAATCTTCGCTTGCTTCTGAGCTAGACTAGGTTTCTTCGTCCCAGAGTCAGTCCACTCTCTCATCTGGTATGGTCGTATGAAGGGGAGGCATTTCGTACCAGTCATATATAAAGCACCCAGATTTACCCGCACATTCGCTGGCTGGACTGCAACTAGTGGGCCCGCCAGAGTCTCTTTGTCTTCGGTGAGGATAAGCTTGGCCTCACAATGACAATACCTTTAGCTTGGCTCTTTAGAAAGGAGGACGGATCTTGTTGGGCCAAAGACCGTGATGACAACCGTGTACATCAAGACTCATTCTGACTTTTGAGCATATGTCTTTTCGAGGCTGGAAAGGTGTGGTCATCTACAATGTGCCGGTTCTTGAGCGAACAGGATACCAGGATGAATTGGGTAGGAGATGAGAGATACGAGTATGGGACAAGGTGTAAGAAGATGATAGGAGGGTGCGGGCGCCGACGTATGAGTCAACAGTACGTACCACCTGGTGTTTCTACCCACTCAGCTCGCCCTCTCCCTCGCGCTATATAGAAGTTACACATCTCTAGATGAATAGAGCCGGCATTCCCTTCTTGGACTTTGCTCCCTGCCAAAGCACGGCCTATGATTGACGAGCTGGGATAAGACCTGGGTCCTTTCTGCCTCTAGGGACGAATTATTCCTACGTTGTGACGACTGACGGACGGGTCTCCACGCTCTTCCGAAAAGTGACTAAGATAACAGTAATCTGGCTGGGGTGATGGGTATTGGGCCTCCTCATTCAGAGCCGCTGGGAGTGAATATCAACGATGTCTCAAGATGTGAGGCCTTTCATACCATCCCATCTCTTAAATTACATACTGCCGGAGAAGGCCCATCAATCCTCGTCATCCTATCTGATATTAAGAATCTAGAGCTACCATATTGTTGAGTCCAGGCTGTGACCGCAGTCTCGCGCTCTGGGTGCTGTTATTGAGGCATGTAAGGCTTCTGGGGCAGATATCTCGGAAAAGAGCGTGTTGATGATTCGAAAGCATTTTCCACCTCGCTCGGACAACTACTTGAGCCAGGAAGGTAGGATTGCTACTCTGGCTAAACGGCAGCGCAATTTTTACACCTTAAGGACTCGGAGGAGGATGCTTGGCTCCGCACATCTCCCACGGAGTTGTTCATCACATTTAAGACCATGATCGAAGATGAAACCACAAGAAAGGCAATCATAACCTAGAGCGCAGTGTTCACAGGCCACGGTAAGCGTTGACGGAGGCCTCTCCGTCCCCGCAGGCCCCCGCCGAAACAGGCCGAGGGCCGCCCATCGGCCTTTTCCCACTGAGTCCTCCTGGTTTGAGTGATCGTCATGAAACTCGCATGGCTCAAGCTCGAGCGCTAAGCAGCCGAAACTGAAGCCGGCACGTGGTTGTCAAAGCTGCAATGGGTCTGGTCGTTGTTGTCAGACAGTGTACCAATGGTCCATCTGTGGATATCCTCGGCACTTGTCCAAGATTCCGGTTGGGGTGTTTTGTGGCACACCGGCACTGGCGACACCAAAGATGCCACCGGCAACTCGAGTCGGGACGGTTGGCCACTCCCTGTCCCTGAATTCGTGCCGACGCAGCGCAAATGTAACCATAACTTGGACCAAATTCTATGTCGGTGACGGGTTATTCCTCTAACGACTCGCAAAATGACCACCCGCAAAGCTTCCTCGTCGACGGAAGGCTTCTTCCAGGCCTTGCCCGTCGTTCCACCTTTGTTCACCTACAACAAATCCAAAGGCTTGCCGAAAAGTGACACGACTAGGTCTGACGATGAAGTCCTCGACAGGGTACTCTCACTGTATATTCCGTCCAACGCCGAGCAAGAAGTGTGCGGATCGATTCACGAATTTTGCCGCCTCGCCAATGCACCTTCTACCCTTCGTCTGACCGTGGATTGTGAGATAAATCAGCCGTCACTACATCCGCTGAATACCTTTGGCGACATTAACAAAGTCGACCCCCTTAGGACCAGTGAAGGATGGAGAGGCTTGAAGAAAATTGGAATTTTAGCCGGTACTGTGGCAAAGGGCTACCCGCAACCAGGCGAAGCGAGTCCAGTAAGCTGGAATAGAAGAGTGCAGCAGTTTGGCTTGATACACGTCTGGTCTGGTGCCGATGCCCTTGTTATGTGTCCGGCGTCAATGACCGACGGCGCCGCAAAATTGCTCTCGACGCATCTAAAAGACAGTGACGGCGACCAGCCAGGCCTTTCAGCAGTCTTGAATGAAGTTTACAAGCGACTAATCTCGCCAGATCCTGGCTTCGCCTGGAGCAGTGGCCAATGGATGACAGAACGACCCGGAGGAAGCAACGTTCGGGACACCGAAACCACCGCAAAAAGACTCAGTCGAACAGAAATCAACATCGACAATCAAAACGGACGCCAGTTTGACGCCCACGGCATGCCATTGGGACCATGGTGGATCGATGGATTCAAGTGGTTCAGCAGCGCAACCGACTCTGACATGGCGTTGATGCTTGCATACACCGAAAATGGTCTCAGCGCATTCTACGCTCCGATGCGCCGCCGCAGTGGTGATATTGCTCCAGGGCAGAATGAGCTCAACGGCATCCGGATTCAGCGGTTGAAGAACAAAATGGGCACAAAAGGCCTGCCCACAGCAGAGTTAGAACTTCGAGGCACTCGTGGCTGGCTCATCGGACAAGAAGGAAAGGGCGTCAAGGAGATATCCACTCTTTTGAATCTAACGAGGTTGCACACCGCAATGGGCGGTACAGGATATTGGGCACGCTCTCTCACAGTCAGTCGAGCTTTTACCAAGGTACGAAACAGCGCCGACGGGCCACTTGCGGAGAACCCGCAGCATCTGAGGTGGATGGCAGCGGAGACCGTCAAATATTGGGCCGCAGTCCACCTATCGTTCTTTGGCACTGCTCTTTTGGGTGCGTCCGAGCAAGAATCTGTTATGCGAGAGACCCGAGCGCAAAAGTTAATCCCAGACCAAAAGTCGATGCTTGAGACGCTTTTGCGATTGTTGACCCCTGTCATGAAGGCACGAGTTTCTCTGCAGAGTGTTCTTGGTGTCCGCGAATGCATGGAAAGCCTGGGTGGCGTCGGCTACTGCGAGAACAACGAGGATGGCGGGATCTTGAACATTGCTCGAATCTTCCGCGACTCGGTGGTCGGACCAATCTGGGAAGGCACTGTGAATATCATGGCCGAGGATACCATCAGGGTTATCAAGGACAAGCGTCTGGGTGGGGGGAATGTCCTTGAAAACGTGCTCCAAAAATGGGCCGAAACCGTGCTCAAGGCGTGTGAGGATGGCGGCAGATTCCATGATGAGTGCGCAATAGTCAGAGAGAGGTTGGCAGTCCTCGTCAAGTTGACGGAAGAGATGGAGGTTGCCCGGTTGCACTGGGAAGGACGGAACATCCTGGAACATATTGAGGCTGTTGTCTGCTCCTGTCTTCTGATGTACGACGCCTCGGTGGACGGAGATAAAATCGTGACTGAAATTGCAAAACGCTGGGTCTGGTCTAAAGCTCTTGTTGCTCATGGGCATACTCACTACGGGCAGGATTGGAGAGGTCAAGTGGCGTTGGACAAGAGGATCTTTCTCGGTGCTAATCCTCAAGTAACTGCATTGCAAGCTCGACTATAAGTAGATGGTCTGGAGCGATCATGAAGTAGTACAGGTGCTGGGAGGAACACGTTGCCGTTGTCCTCGCCGCGTCCCAGACAATTCAATAAGCTCCCGTAGAACTCTTAGCTTTTCGATCCCACTACCAAATACATGTCCGACGAAGTTGCATCTGGTGATTACTGCACTATAGTTTCTTCATCACCCTATCCCAATCCTGTGTTTGAAAACCCTCGAGCAACAAAGTTTGAGCCATCAGGGAAGGCAAGGCCGTTAGATAGGTCGGAAAATCCCTCCAGGATCCAGCTGATATCCTCTGAGATGACAGCAGTGCTCCCCATATCGTTGACCATCTCTTCGGTGGTGGACTCTGACAGCTTCAGCCTAGGAGACATGGAATACGGAAACGGGAAGAGTCCACGCAGGACAGCCATATCATGCGCGCGGCCAACAAAAATGTTTGGTAGGGTCGCTCGTGGGACGATCGTACCGCGGCAGCCTTGTGCTTGTTGTTCACGAAGTCTGTTGATTGCGTTGAGTACCAAAGTCCCTCCGTGGGATTTGATTTGGTATTGTTTGAGCGCAGCCACCAGAATATCCAGCTCTTCGGCGCATAGATTATTGTGCCAATCAAAGCTTTCAGCAGATAGCCATATGAGCTGTGGGACTGCTGCAACCATAAAGCACCATGTATGTATCCCGAAGAGATAGCAGATGTCATCTCTGAGATCCATCTCTTGGTAAAGATGGGTGATGCAGGAAGAGGCGATCAAACAGGCAAGGCTAGGTGCTGAATTGATGGACTGATCTCCGAATAGGTGGAGGTATGTAATAATGGTTGCGAAGTATAGAATGTGGACTTCGTAGACATCGCGTCGATATACTCGCTGTCCAAGAGAGTCGTAGATACGAAGACTTTCTGGGAGGCTTTCGATCCAATCCTTAAGCAATACTAGAATGGCCCTGTGCTAGAGAGGCCAAAAGACTGTGAACACGGTGTTTCGGGGGGATTAAATATCCAGGTAAGGATCATAGAAGAGATCCACATACCTCTACTTCCCCATCTTCCGGCCACCGAAAGCGCAAATCCGTAATTCGACCTAAAATACAAGCCAACTTTGCTGCTTCCATGAAAAGCATCGCTGGAATGTTAGGGACTTCAAAATCTCCTTTTGTCAACGTTTTCACGTCAAACTCATTAGATTTGATGGCGGTGGGCCGGCCAAGAGCCGCCGAGACGAATTTATCCTGGACCTACCCCGGTAGTTAGTGATAAGAGGACCTTTGTTCGACTTGCAGAGGCTTACATAAAGGTACCAAGCCAATCGACGGGAGATCTTCGGCTGCGATTGACTCGCGCACCCTGCTTCGCGATTGAGGCCGATCTGTTGCAACAGTCTTGTCGCAGTACCTAGCCAGTGCCATGCACAATCAGAAGTTAAAACCACAGGCCCCATCATACTCCAGGTGGATAAAAGACACAAAGCTTTGAGAGTCGTTATGGGATCTTGTTCGAAATCCATTTGAACAAGTGTCTTCGTTTTGAAATAATATTTCTCACTCTCTGCCAGAGACGCGGATTGTCTCGAACGTCGAAGGTTTGACCCTACCATGCATACGGCTTGACAGAGTACAATGGGCGGCTGCTCGCCAAAAATATCTGCGTGATCGAGGACGGGAAAGCGATGGAATGCATATTGAAAGTATGCGTCAGCGTATGCGTGGAGCACGATTTCAGGAACTTGAGCAGTGGCCTCTGATACCCTCAAAATCTCTTGGTTCACCCTCTTCGAGAACGCGGTCGTTTGTAAATGGTTCGGAGGGAGCGAGGGTGTGTCTTGCAACACGCTGCTTATCTCGCCCAGATACTGGCTGTGTAGTAGACCTGATATTGTCGAATGTGTCTGTTGGCTCGCGTGGCCACCATAATCATACCCACTTGCTGGACCAAGCACCTGAGACTCTCGTCGAGAGATTTCAACTGACGAGGGCGATCTTGTTGCTTGCTTGGCGGCGTGTCTTTGTCTCATTGTCGCTCGAGGGCTTGGATGGCGCCTGGTGATATCCCGTGAGAAGTCGGGGTTACAGCCAGGAAGCTCACTCACTTGCACAGCATGCCGTATTTCCAACAGTTGCTACATGACTCCCCTACTTGACTTTGAAGGTCGCATCTCACTTTTCGAGAGTGACAATTGGTACACGCAACTTTGTTTCGACCACGAACGTCGTGGAAGGATTGCCTGGTGCTGGTCATGATCGTTCGACCGTCGCACTTGGACCATGAGTCGGCGTCGACCTCTACTCGTGGCGAAGGCACAGAAGGCAAAATCGCCACCGCGAACTTATAAATCTTCCAGAAACGCTGAAAAGACGAGTCAGTATGTGGACAAGGAGAAAAGGTACGACAGAATATCCTCGGGCTGGGCAGTGCGGGGCTACTAACCCAGCTATTCACATTGCCACCGGCATACGCATGACTTTGGCCGTTTGAGTTGCGCACCATTTCTCCGAAAATACTTCGAGGAAGGCAGCAATCCATCGAGAGCACGCCAGTGAAATAATTGACTTTGGAAGACGCTCGCACAGGTATAATATGAAGCCATAATAAAGTTGCAAATTCCTAAATCCTATGTGAAGACTTCAAAAACCGGTGATGTGGCAAACCAGGCGCTAAGCACCCTCCCCAGAAACTCAGAGTTTAAATGCCAGGCTTGGTGGCTCGTCTCTGGATGTTCACTAAATGAAAGGGCGCCTGTAAATTGTATGGGTAGTCAAAACGATATGAGAGATCAAAATGACAGGTTGTCCGGCATCAAAGCAATCTCGTGGACCATCCGCGGACTATGGCTAACCTGATCAAGAATTTCCTTGCTTATTCAAAGTGTATACCTGAACCCGGGAAGGTCTGCGATCACCCGAGATCCTCGCTCAGCTCCTTTGTTTGCGTACCGGAAGTAGGCAATCATCGTTGTTGTAATCACTATGAGGAAACCACTAGCACTGTAGATTGAGTTAGCCACCGAGTGTTTATCCAAGATAGACTGGAGATTAGTTCTGTGTGACCGCGGTGGGTTGAAGGCAAAAGACTCACGCGTAGCATGCATAAATTCCCGGTCGGTATCCTGGAGCGTCTTGCGAACGGAAGACAAGAGCTCCAATAATTCCACCTGTTCCGCCCATCATGATCAAGACAGCACTGCAAAATACCCGCGTCCAGTGTCCTCGAATATTGTTTGCTTGCCAGGCCATCGCACACGGGATATTAGCATTGCAAGCCCCTGTAATGAGAAAGAGGCCGAAGTACTGAACCCCGGGAACGTGGGTGAAAGCTAGGAGGCTTAGACCGACGATACCTTGAATGGAATTGAAGATGATGAAGACACCTCGGGCTTGCAATCTATCAGCTAGCCAACCCTCAATCCACATCTCGATACCCGCAAAGATATAAGGAGGAGTGCTGAGCAATTGAGACACCCCCACATCGAAGCCGATTTCGTGGTTCAATATCAACGGTAGAAAGTAGGCGACCGCATACGCGACCATGGTTGAGAATCTAAGTTATAGGTTAGTTTCTCTCATCTCAGATAGAGGGGCGTGGCAAGCAATGGGCGCACGTATAGATAAAGCCATAACCCCAGATCCGTAAGTCAAGTGCTGGACGAAGAAATCTGGAGATGGTGAATTTCTCATGAGCATCCGCGTCTTGTCTGTCCTTGTTAATACGGCTGATGATGATGGCAGCCTCGCGCTCAGAGAGGAATCTCCACTCCTTATGGGCATTTTGGGGGTAGTCGACAAAAAACACATAGGATATGAGGGCTACGACCACGGTGAGGATGCCTTCCATGAGAAAGATCCACCTCCAGGGTCCTAGTCCTTGCAGTCCACCCATCTGCATGAACCCAAATGCGAGCACTCCTCCCAAAGAGGATCCCACTAGCCCGATGAAATAGAAATAGGCATAACGCTTGTGAATTTCGTCTATAGGTCGTTAATTGGAAGCCAAGAATTGACGGTATGAGTGAACGCACAGCGAGTGTACCATAGGGACAGCACATATATAAGCCCGGGAAACACGGCTGCTTCAAGAATGCCGAGAATGATTCGCAGTCCAATAAGGACAGTCCAATGATGAACAAATGCAAAGCCCTGAGGAGCAAATATTCCGTTAGTTGGAAATTCCGAGAAACCCCTGTCTGTACTTACAATCATGACGATTCCCCAAGCCAATGTGAAGGAAGGGAGAGCCCACCGAGGCCCAATCTTTCGAACTAGGGCTGCCAGAGGGATTTCTGCGATCACATATGGCGCGAAGAAAATAAGCACAACAACAGACTGAGAATGCCGAAGGAGAATAGAGTCAGCTTTCACCCATAGACTAAAGAATAGTGTTTTTGCAGAGCGTGACCTACGTAGCGGGTTCCAATGGCAAGATCCAAATCCTTGGACATCCTTTGTAATATCGTTAGCTTGGAGCTCAGGTGCAAGAACAAGGCGCCGGTCACAGCCAAGGTCCTGGGAGTCAACGTACCCAGCAATATTTGCGTTTGACAGGTTGGTCCTATCAAGTAAACTGATAGCAACCATCAGCCCAGCAATGGTGACATAACGTCTATCCACTTTGTGGACTATCTTGCGTATCTCCCTTTCGTCGAATTCTCCATCGCCTCTGTTTGCTGTTTCAATTTCATCGACAAAGAGCTCCTTCTTGATTTCAGGTTCTAAAACTTCGATGACGGCTGCCATTATTTTCAAGAGGGAAGAGGTGGTTGTTGCTACCCTTCAGACTTGAAAAGTTCAAGCGAGGAGCCTGGTGGTCCGGGAGGTCAATAAAGCTTCCTCGCAAGGAAGAGAGATTTGTCTTGAGCATTTGGTCAAGATTTTATATATCTACTCCGCCCAAGCAAGATTCGGTTCCAGCCCTGAACATTCTGGGAATCCCCACGTCTGCGGTTCTAGGCTGTTACCCCAGCTCGTGAGAATCCGGAGAGCCAAGCGGGGGGGGGTCTGGGGTTCACATGTGGCACTGCCAGGCGAGATTCAAGAAACCGATGGAGGCCGAGCAGCAC